AAATACTGTATTTAATACAAAATAGAGGGCAAAACTTGGTTTTGCCCAGATCAAGTGAAAGAAAAAGACACCAAACCAGGTACATATCTGTGTGTTTGTCCACGTGTTTTTATTAAAATGCATATTTTAGACTCTGTAAGGAGCATGTGTTCTTTAAGAGCTGGAACCTATGTTGACCCTCCCATTCTGCATAAATTAATTTTGGGTCAAACTTTTCTTCTCCCATTATGAGTCCTCAAGTATATTTTCATTGTTTTAAAACCTGAAATACACCTGAAATCCACTGGGATTTCTGGCAACGTTCAACAAGAATGATTTTTTTTGTTCTTTTTTGATGAAAAAACAATAGGCAGTCTGGGTTGCCAAGTCTGACCCACTGCCAAGGTTGCCTTTTCTTAACAGGTGTTTGGAAATCCTCTTTAGAGGACTAATTTCTGATTATCCTGTTAAAATAGTATGACTTTTACATTTTTTTAACCAAAAAAGAGATGAATGCTTTCTCACCTCCAATTAATTTAATCTATTACTGAAGGTAACATGACCAACGATTTCTCTTAGGCAACCAGTAATACTTGCTTCCCAGATTGGTGACTCTAGCTTTTGGATATCGAGTATTTCTGTAGGTGATGTCAATTAGTCTGCATTTTGCAGTGCTATGTATGTTTTAAAGGTCCCATTTGTCTTTTTTCAGAAGGCCAGAAAACCTTGCCAATAAGGAAATGCTTAGGGAAATGTTTAGTGTTATCTGGCAAATGTTTTGTGTTGCATGCATTAAGAGCTACTGTTAACAGATAAGCACATATCTTATTGGAATATTTTAATTCTGTTTCCAAGCAAAAAATTAGAAGTTTATAAATAAGTGTCTTTCTCAAATAGTTTGAGCTCTTTGTGGTAGTGCAGTAAAAGCAAGGGAGGTTAGGACATGGTCATGGAAAAAGCCACACTGAGGGTAGCCATTGCAGTTCTGGGTGGAAAACTGTTGCACCAAACAATAGGAGATACTGGGCAGCAAGAAATTAGCTTCTCCTGAAGGTGTTGCCTTTACTGTACTTTGGTTGGACAATCAACTGAATAAAGTTCAGAAAGAATCTAGAAGTGGTTGTCCCTGTCCCCCCCTCCCCATCAGCTCTACAGCTCACACATTAGGTGGGTTTGCCCTGTCAGTGGGATGCCTTAAGAAAACACTAATAGCTTCCAGCTGGGTGGAAAATCAAAACGTTTGGGGGCTGACAAAACTAGCAGATTTGAATTTGAAAGCCCAGCTAATGCCTCCATTTTTATTTACCAGTCGCCCATAAAAGATTATTTTCCAATATGTCAGCCTCATTTGGTGGCCAGTGGTCTGAAAGTGAAAGTGGAACAAGCAAGCGGGGAAATCTGGACATTAGTGAGTCCGCCCTTTCAAGCTGGTGTGCCACTTTGTGGAATGGCCTTCCCTGAGATTGGGGGGGTCCTAATGACCATTCATCAATGCTCGTTGACTGATCATTGAGTGCCTTCTCATTCAGTTTATCAAGTCTTGCACATAAAAAGTCAGAATAAGCATTATTCAGCTTTGTTAAAGCCAACTAGGAGTAAAATGCTCCATTTGAACCCATTTTGCCCTTGGTTTTTCACTTTGTTAATGCAGTCCTGCTTAAATGAGTGCTTTTATTGGGTCGGTTAGAATATCTGAAACTATTAATTCTCTTGTATTGAATAGCTGGTGGCAGGCCAGAGCAGATGGGGTAGAAAACTATTTGGTTGGGTGTATTGCTTTCAATTAGGATCAATGAGGTTTCAGCTCCTTTGAATTAACTCACTTAATACCCACTGTGTGAAGTCACAATGTATCACAACAGTCTGCTATAAGTAGAGCGGGAAGTTGAGAAGTCCTACAGAAAAGCTTTGAGTTAAATTCTTCCTTTGCTGTTAATAGAGACCTTTCATTAACTACAGATGCGTTTCACTGGACTTCCAGTCCCTGTTATTAAGCTAGGTTTGTGCAAACAGCAGTCTCTGTACTTTCAAATGGTGATCGTTTGGAATTTCTCCTTTCCATTAGATCCATGTCTTGGTGACCGTATATCATCCACTGCACATAACTCTTCCTTTCCACCCCTCTTCAAATACATATGAATATGGAGCTTGTTTTGCCTTCTTTACCCATTTCCAATATTAAGAGCTGTAGAAGATAGTTTACAATTATTTTGAGAAGTGTTTTGAATGATTGTCAGAGAAGGAGCTGATTCTCACCCAGGAACATGTAGCATAATGTGCCTCACAAAGAAACTGGCCAAAGATTGCCTCCTGGATTTTTCACTATGTATCTCTTTCATTTTGGTATTACACATAATACCGACTTCTGTCATACAGCAGAATTGTTCCCATATTAAAACCACTGCATTTCCTTTCCCAGGGGAGAATAAAACTGTTTTATAGAATGGGCCGTCCACCTTTGCTTGGCTTCCTAAAATTTCAGAGTTGGTGCAAAAACTGTTAGGGCAAGCTTTAAGTGACTGCATTAAAAATGGGGGGTGGGGAAAGCTAATAAATACCCACAGATACTTACTCAGGGAGGACTGCCAAATGGGTTGCAGCCTGCCTCAGTGTATTAAATAATGAGAGGGAAAAACTATTCATGCAGCTGGCTGCTTGAGAAAATGCTGAAGTAGTCTCAGATGCACAGGCATTCTGTTAGCCCCTTCCACAAGCAGACTTCTAGGTGAGAATCTCCAGGGATCCTGGTTTTGTTGACGTGGATCAATTTAAATGGCAATTACTGTAGTCAGATAACAGCTTAAAAAGGCTTTTTACACACAGAAAAAAGATGCATAATCACACAGCATATGGAAGTTCAATTTTGTGAGCCGTGGTCTGTGGATTTACAATGTACTGATATTAAGACCTACTTTTAAGAGTGAATATTGTTAGGTTTTATTAAAATACGTCATACCTTTGACACGTTATTTTCTACTCTGAAGCTGATTCAGGCTGCATCTATGTTGATGAAAGGTTGCATTTCCAACTGTGAAAATGTTTTTCCTTTCATGTAGAGTACAGCATTAAAAAAGAAAAACAACACAGCAAATACAATACTAACTGACTGGTTTTAAGGAGTGCATCAAATAATAAAACAAAAAGAACAGTGAATTCCTTAAAGGCCTTGATGCACAGACTTTGCTTGTTATTCTCTCCCTTTCCCCCCCTGCTTTGCCCCCCTTCATGAAAGTGGTCTGTCATGAAAACGTTTTCATGTTTTAATGTTTCTTTCTCTTGGGCTCTCCTGACACTCAAAAATCCATTATAGAGAACTTCATTACAGTAGATATCTGATGAAGATGAAGAAAAGACCTGCCTCAAGTAGCAGACTCATTATGTTGTTAGTGCTGCGGTGTTTACTGGGGTGAGGGGAGCTGCTTCTTTGATCATCTTGAATTTGCCAGTCCTGTGTGTGGAGTCTCCTATTTAAGCAAAGCTTAAGGGTGGCACTTAGCGTAAAAAAGTTACTGTGGAAATATCAGCAAATTAAGTGACTCATTTGCTCTAAGTGAGAAATATTTCATGAGTTCATTCCGGTTATTGGAAGGATTATTATTTTTTGCTTAATTTCACATATGTGTCCTTTTCCTGAATAGATCTTTATCGGGCTCTGTGGCAGCTAGAGGAAGGAAGAGGAAGGCCTGAAAGCTGGCTTGTTTCTGTGTAGCTGAGGCAGAAGATGGCATAATGCAAAATCAAGGGAATGCATATATAAGTACAAAAGGATGAGTCCTGTAGTACCAAGAATTCAGCTCCGCAAGATCTGACAGAGAATATGGATTTAAATGTGTATTGCAAAGGCAAAGTCAAAACGAGGACTTGAGCGCTAATTGGTGGAGAAATACTTGTTACTAAAGGGAGAAGCTTTTGCAAGTGCTAAATGGAGGGAGAGTTTTAAGAAGATATTTTTCCTTGTGCCTGGAATTTTGTGCAAGGCTATACGTGCTACAGAAGGCATGCGAGTCAGGCGTATGTTTCTCCTAAGCGGCAAAGATGTTTTACAAAGGACTAAAGAGGGACTGCTGAGAAGAAAATAGCCAGCTTTAGATAAAGCACTATAACAAAGACTTGCAGTTTTATATATCATTGTGTCCATTAAAGCTTAATAGGGAAGAGTGCATTCAACCTAGCCAGGCATATGTTATTCATGTGAAGGATAAACATTTAAGGGGTGTGCAAAATCAGAAATTGGGAGGACATGATTGTTTAGCTTTTGAAAAAGCTTTAAAGAGAAGATTTTGTTTTCATCCCCCATGGATCACCATGCAAGGTAAAGGAGAGTAAGCTGCAAGTGTTTGGAACATATCAATGCAGTGATCCCAGGGGGTTAAAAGCACTATAGTAAAATAAAAGTGGTCTGCTTTCTAAGTGTGCTCTATTTTACACATACTACTGAGAATCTGAGAAAGGGAGTGATTTTGATACCCTGTTCACGATAGTAAAACAGCATAATAATGACAAAAGTGTGGGAAGGGGAGGAAGAGGAGAGTAGACCCTTTCGTTTATCCTCGTGCATGTTTTGAATTTCCGGCAAAATTAAACAAACGTAGTCCTATGGAGTGCAAAATTCTGACTGTTAAAACAAAGAATGAATTTGTTTCCACTTTTGGAGGAGAGCTTCTTTAATTGCTGTCAGCAGAAAAAAGGGTTAAGTTTTAAAGAAAAAATGAATTATTCAGTGTTTGGCTTATCACTCCGCATTTTACTTTCTATTCTTTGGTCATCTGGAACTTGGTGTGAAAGGTAGAGTAAAAGGAGTCAGCCGAGGGGAGCTGGGGTTGTGATAATTTGCACACACATCCCTGTCATTGTTCTGCCTGAAGAGACAGGGCTGGGTTCAAGGCCACATGTGCTCCTGTCATCATTCACATTTCTGCTCCAAGTGCAATACAGAGTGTCAGCTCTCCATCTGTCTTTGCCTGGCAAACGCACGCGCCCAGCATCCTGCCTCCAGCTACGCTGCCACAGCCAGTTCTGATGGCCCTCCTCTCTTCTCTCTGTTCATTCCAGAACAGGAGGCACTGAGCCCTAAATAAGCTTGCTTTTTGGAGAGAGCCATTTACAGTGTGGTATATTTTATCCAAGGATGCCTGGTGAGTTGAAATTATTGCAGCTCTTTTGTTTTTAAATGACGAAACACTAATTGTTTTTAGGTAATATTTTTTTTCCTTTTTCTTTTTCTTTTTTTTCTTTTAATATAGAGGGTGATTTGCAAGCTGATGCGGGTACGGAGCAATCGTGGATGCTAATTCTGTTGTGTATATGTTTGGGGGAGGGGAATTTGTGCGAGGGAACTGCCAGAGATGATACTTAGAGCAGGACTGGATGTTTCAAGGAAAAGGGATAGAAATAGCAGAAAGTCACCAGCCCTGTGGGTGCGGGTCTCTGCGTGGGGGATCATTTTTAGTGAAGAGAAATACAGCTTCAGGCTGGCTTTCATGACTGTCAGCTGTACCTTGAATCTGCAAATATTTAATCGGTAGAGATCATTCACAGCGTTCGCCCAACAGCTGAAATTATCTCTGTGAAAAGCTGTTTATGTTAGAGAAGTGAAGGAGGCTTATAAAGCAAATTATTCCAGTGTTATCCTAAATCACAGTCCTTAACTGTCACCAGGCAGATCACTGAAATATGTTGATTCAAAATAAAACAATTTAAAAATCTGCTGAATTAGAGGAATTGCTGTGGAGCTGGAAATTTTAATAGGTCAGTTTCCTCAGGAAAATATTATACTTGGATCTTGCCATCGCTTGTCTAATTGATAAGTGTTACTGCCAATGAAAACGGTGCTTCTATGCAGGCTGATTTGTCTGAGGGCTTTTGCAACATGCTTGACCATGACCGAGTGGATTGAATTTGGTGTGTTTTGTTTGGTTTTTTTTCTCCTTTGATAGGGACTGGAGAGAGCCATGTGCCTGATTATAGCAGCCTGTGTCTCTGGATAAAAAAAGACAGGGCTAGAGATCCTACAGCTGGCTGGTTCTTGTGGATTATTTGGGTAGGACAGGCAGAAGAGGCTACGCTTGATCACAGAGAGTCTGTACACCTCACAGATGGTGTTTTGAAACAGTATCTGCCAGTTTGCTGCAACCACAGTTGCATGTAGGTATTGCCAGTTGTTGGAAGAATGTTTTCCTTTTAGGATTTTTATACATGGTCATACCCTATTGCTGGTATGTTTGCTGGTCCTCTGGTTATAAGAAGAAAGTGGGCTCTGTTTGCTCAAAGCACAAGACTAAGAGGATTTATATGGTTGAAATATGGGCAAATTAATTTGCATAGATAACAACTGAGGACTATGAAAGGTCAATGTAACCCTTTAAATGTCAAATTTGATTTGCATGCATCACATTCCTGGGAATGTGGTCTTCATTACAAGTATCATGGTTATTCATTAATGTGGAAAACTGCATTCTGCATGATTTGCATCCTCTGATGTTTCCTTTATATTTGTATGAAACTCATAGTCTTATGTAGGTTACTATTTCTGTGTTTTATTAAGATATCTAAATGTTCCAAAATGATAGAGTCTTATCAGTTTTGATCCTTATGTGCATTATTTGGGGCTATTGGCAAACACTGTTGGAATGCCTGGAGTTGAGGTTTTTTAAAACCTATTAAGCCTTTGGCATTTAAATTACTTAATCTACCTGCTGGTTAAAGTTTCATGCATCTTTAATCATGAAGTATGTATACCCTTATCAATACTTGTTAAGCTTTACCATTAAATAAATCTTTAATTTCCAGCATTCTCTTAAAGCAGTAGCTAGCAAGAATTGTGTTTTAATGTCAGCTCAGAGTGTTAGAAAACCTTGCACTTGGATACAGAGAATACACTAACAGCTGTGACTGGGAGCATGTGCCAGAATGGAGATACTTGAACAGATCTGACACTTGGCTATTTTTGACACCCATCTGCACTTTTTTACTCTCCTCTAGGATGAACTGCCTCTCAATCTGTTCACAGCATATTTTAGCCCTTTAATATTGTAGTATTGTTTTTTTTCAAATGGGCATTATTAACCATCTGGGGCAGATTTTGTATTTTAAAAGTAAGCACATTATGTACAGGAGATTAAAAGGCTGTGTATTTTTATGTAATCTGATATGTCAGTGCCTTTTGTGTATGTGTGAAGTCTTGATTTGAGAAGCATCCCTTTAGTGGTTCTGACATTCTTTTTTGGGAAAAGAAGAGGAAGTAATAAAGACAGGTTCTGCTTTATGTGTAGTGATAACAAACACTTCTACACAAAATGAATTTGCCCTTCAAAGTGCTTGTACTGTTATAATTGTGACTGGCTGCTCACCTCCTTGCTTCCCTGTCAGGGCAAAGCAGCAGCAGCAGCAGCAGCAGCAGCGAGGCTTGCTAATGAAATGCTGTAAAAGCGATTCAGATCTCTATTAAGGCACTACTGCAACTCTGAGAAAAGTCTCTGGAAAGATAATCCCGTTAACATGCAGCTTGCAGTAACTAAGTTAACCGTTTTGTCATTCTATGTAGTGAACTCTAGAAAGTGCTTATCTCTAAATAATTGATGCTGGGGGAGCAGTGTTCAAAGCTAATACCATACACTGGTTTGTCTGATTACTGTGAATGTGTTTTTGGGTTGGTTTTTGTTGTTTGTTTTTTTTTTAAAGAACTGTTTATTCTAGGCTTTATTTATGAAACATTACAAATCTATCAGTCATTTTATAGTACTTTCAAAGAACAGATGTTGGCCTACAAAATGCTTTATTATTGCCCATGGCAGTATTCAGCATGGTTTCCTTAAAAGGACAATCAGTGATCACAGTCATTGTAGCCCAGAAATAATGCTGCTCTTTCAGAAGATGGCCTGGTATTAGGTCAGACCACCCTTTCTTTACTTCTGCTCTCCAGATGTGGCTGCAACTGTGTTTTTTTTTTTTAAGTTCATGTTTCAAAAAAAATGGGTTTGTTTTCGAAATCTGGTTTTACTTAAGATATCTCCATCCTGGAGTGCATTTCATAAATTGCCCACATATTTTTCTTAGCAGAGAACTTAACTGGCTGTAATTTTTAACACATGGCCACATCATGTGATATTTTCAAAACATTTGCACATAGCTTTAAGAAGGTCCCAGCAGAAATGATCCATCATCTCACAGCCAGCCCATTTCTTAACAGCATATCTGCATTTTCCATTTAGCAGAGCTATATATTATTAGCTTACATTTTGGGTAGTAAAACAGTGCATTGCTGATTGTAAAACATGGGCTTTATTATCTGCTGAAAATTGATTTGGCATTTATAGCCACTGTGTACTAGACTGGCTTTCTGGTTTTAACATTAGTGCTTGCGAGTGATGATTTGTTTAAAGAACAGAAACAAAATTGCCATGGACATAACTGTTAGTGTCCTAGTAACTGAACATTTGGATTATCCACCTGTTTTTTAAATACATGGGTCTAAACACTGTTATACAGCAAAAGTCTTCTAACAGTCCATTTACTGACTTCTTCTGTTTTAAGCTGCAGTTGCTATGCTGTTATATTAGGACAATTCTGTGTCTTACAAAACAAGTTTCCTGCCAAACGCAGAAAATGTGTCTGGAAATACTTAAGTCTGAGTGTTAACCTTGCATCATTATTCCAATAATCCTACATAATGACTTTATCTCCAGTATTTGGACAGGA